TTCCCTCCAGGACTAGTGATGTCATTAAATCTTATTTATTATTATTATTGTGAATGCACATGCACACACAGTGAAGGTCAGAGTTATGGAGTCTGTTGTCTTATTTCACTTTCACATGGGTTCTGGGTATCAAATTCAAGGCATCAGACTTTTCCAGGGTGTTTTACCGATGGAGCCATCTTGCTGGACCCAACAATGTTTTTAAATAACTTCCTTGAGAAAAATACCTGATTAAATGCTCCATTAAAACTACCTTTTTTTTCCTTAAAGCAAGTCTGTAAGATAATTAGGTCCTTATTTTAAAATAGTTATTTAGAACTTGTGTGTGTGTGTGTGTGTGTGTGTGTGTGCATGTGTATGTTTGCTACTTCATAACTGTAATTTTGCTACTGCTATAAATAGTACTGTATACATCTGATATACAGAATATCTGAAATGTGACCCCCGAGGGGCTGCAACACAAAGGTTGAGAGGTGCTCATCTAACAATGGGACTGACTCCAGAGATCATATGAATACACTCCAGATGTGGAGTCTGCAGGTGCATGACAGGACAGTTGATCCTCACTGACTCCTGACTGGATGGTAGAGTCCTTGGAATGTACCGACTGGGTTTTCATATCCTTTAAACAAAAGTATGCTGGTTTTCCTTGGTCATCACAGCACTACTGTAATAATCATATATTGCATTTATTTATGAATTAAAAACAACACTGACCTAATGACATGCATTTGTCATCCCAGCACCCAGGAAGCCAAGGCAAGAGAACTGCAAGGTCCAGGGCATCCTGGACTACATAGCAAAACCTTATGTCAAAAAATCAGATATGTAAAGTCAGTTATTCCTTGCTTCCATTTTATAAAACCATATTGTTGGTAACAAAACATCCTGATATTGCCCTTACTCAGTGTTACTACCTGACAGATGATATAACCTATCTGAATTCAATTTATCAATTGTGTGAAAGTTGATCATTTAATCTATCCCAGGGATTCAAAGGTCTATTGTGTATTATATTTTTCTTTTTGATTAAGATAATAACTAAAAAAGGAAATTAATTTTGTTTTCAGCATATAGAGCAGGGAGTACAGAAATGGCCATTCTTCTCACCTCCAAATTTAGCTTGCATTTTATTCATTGAAATCACATGTTTATGTTTGCCCAAGTAAATGCCTCTGTAATATAAGGTTTTGTTACCTGATTGCTTCTAAACTTGAAATAATTTTCCATTTAACGCAGGAGTAATCATTCTGTGATGTATAAACATCTTGCTGACTTTTAGAAGTAGTACTTTAGTGAAGGTGTAGGAGAAACTTTCATAAATACTAACTACAGACTCTCAGAGATGAACGTGACTATGTTAGCTACAGCCATGTAGGATTGCACTAGAGTTAGAGGAAACTCATGAAACAGAATGACACCAAGTTCAAAGAGACAATGAAAACAGTTTTATTTTATTAGGAGCAAGGGAAGTTCAATTGCAAGTTAGTTCGGAAGTAGGTACATTTATTATTTAAAATATTCGAGTAGGAACCAGCTATTCTCAGATCATTATAATAGTTTTCTGTGTTCATGAGAACCAAACTCAAGGTTTTACACATGCAAGGAAGACACTCCACAAGAGAGCAGCACTGCCAGCCCTAAAAAGTTACTTTTATTTGAATTTATCTTGTAATAGTTCTCTCTCTCATATGTGTGTGTATGTCTGTGTTTGTGTGTGTTTCTATGTGTCTGTAAGCGTGTCTATATGTGTGTGTATGTGTGTTTGTGTGTATCCATGTGTGTATGTGTCTCTCTGTTTGTTTCTGTGTGTCCCTGTATGTCCATGTCTATGTGTGTGTATATATGTGTGTGTCTATGTTTTTATGTGCATATGTATGTGCATGTACACGTGTGTATTTGTGTCTGTGTCTATGCTTATGTGTGTGTGTGTCTGTGTGTGTGTGGGTCTGTGTGTGTGTGTCTAGAATAGGTCTCATATGTGCTACAATATATTTACAATGCTAGAACACAGTGATACCAATTTTATAGTGATCATAGGTCCCACTTATGTATTAATAACTATTAACCTTCCCAGGACTGCATCAGTGAAACACAATCCAACATCCAAGAAACAGTAACATACAAGAATTGCAAACACATATAACAATGTGTGAAATACTGTATTTGAAATGTATGGAATAGATTCAAGATATACACAAATGGATAACTATGATAAACCACTACACATAGTCATAAAATATATAAGAAACATTTAAAATAGAAAACAGAAAAATGAGATTGTCTTTCTTTCTCTCTCTCTCTCTCTCTCTTTTTCTTTCTTTCTTTCTTTCTTTCTTTCTTTCTGTCTGTCTCTTTTTTTCTTTATAGTAGCATCTCACTGTGTAGTCCTTGCTGTCCTAGAACTCACTATGTAAACCAGGCTAGCCTCAAACTCAAAGAGATCCACTTGCTTCTGTCTCCCAGGTGCTGGAATTAAAGGGAAGTGACACCACATACAGAAAAAACAAAATTTTGGGTGTTTTCAGGTCATCCCAGAGGCTAAGAAGGCCAGAGCTTCTGCCTCAGCATAAAGACTCACATGACTTAAAACTAGTAATACTCTTGCTGTCTTATGAAGGATGATTATTGTTACACCTGACAGTATCTATCTGAACACAAGTGTGGGTAGGTCTGCTGGCACTAGAGAAACAGAGGCAGGTGGATCTTGATGAGTTCAAGGTCAGCCTGGGCTGTATAACAAGTTCCTGACAAGACAGAGCTTCATAGAGAGACCTATCAAAAACAAACAAACAAAATCAGCCACAGATGAACATAAATTGGCAGCTGATAATAGAGCGGAAGCAATAAAGAAAAAAAACCTTTGAGATGATTTAGTAAAACAAAACTCTTGTTGCAACTAAAGGGCATAGATGCCACTAACAACATAATATGTATAACCCATGTATTCATAAATATAGTAAGATGTGTCCATACAGAACAAAAGGCAGTGATAATTAAAAATCACTAACTTAAACATTATGAAAATGCATTCTCACATATTTAATTAATATAGTATTATGTTTAATGTTATATCATAATTCGCTTCACTTTTACAAACAGAACATCAAAGCTATCGGCAGAGTAGACACAGCATTTAACACTGTTGGGGTTTATGCACAGTGTATTGCCCACTCACAAATGTAACTTTTCATTCCAGTCAAGCTAAAGAAAAAATGGTAAATGACTTTTACATAAAGATTATAGTTCAAACTTGAACAGAATCCCCCTGGCAATCCTTGATCTGCTGCTCATCCCCAGTTTGCATTGGAAGGAAATGATGAAACTCCTGCATATTGAGAAAAGGGCCCAAAGATGCCTTTTACTAAACAGAGCTTCCCTTAAAAGAGATTGAATATATTGTTGGTGAGAAGAGAGCCCCACACACTGGGAATCAGTGAAGTGTTCTGCATGTTTGTCACACTGGAAATCCACATGACATTGTATGACATTCATTTGCACAAATGTTAACTGTCTGTCTCCTTAAGAATAAGAGATTGGCATAAGTGTGAAAGCCTGTAACACAACTTATGCTCCCTGCTTCTGTGTCTTTTTGAAACTGACAATTTTCTATAGGAATCTTTGTTGAAATTTAGTATTGCTTTTGAGAGTGCACTAGACAAAGGTAAATAATCAGTGTGAGAAGGAATCTACACAGACCAATGGCCCTTCTCATCCGGAAAGAAATCATGATGGTGTGAGATGTTGTACTGAGTGTGGTCATCACATAGTATCTAGGACAGCAGCACCTCACAAGTGGAATAGAGAAATTCAGCCACATGCGTTTCCATTTGTGACAGGAGTTTTTTCCTTACTTTCATGTGGAACAGCTTTAAATCGATATATAAGAAAGTGCAAAGGCCATGAGTCAGGCCACAGCAGTATTCACAACTTTGAATGTAAGGTTGTTTCAACTGAGAAATACCAAACTGTAGGAAATTGAGATCACACAATAATACTTCTTTATGCCATGATTAAGAAAAGCATAGGAGTAAACACATTATGAGGCACTAGACTGTTTATTCTATATGTTTATTTAACTCGGTTGCAAATTATACTATGGTGCAACAAAGGTAGACAGTGAACAGTTAAACCAACCAGGCTGGGGAGTGGAATTGTGTGTGTCTGTGTGTGTGTCTGTGTGTGTGTGTGTGTGTGTGTGTGTGAGATATGGGTTCACTGACAGGCCAGAGGTAGGTGTTGATGTCCTCCTCTATCTGTCTCTACCTTATTTCTTTTAGACAGAGTCTCTCCCTGAACCAGGATCTTGCATTTGGGGGCTAGGCTGGCAGCCAGGGAGCCCTAGTAATCCTGTCTCTGCCCTTCACAGAGCTAAAGGTACATACATATGGGAACAGCACAATTTATGTGGAATCTAAGAGCCAAATTCACACTTGAGCTCTTACTCACTGATCCATAACTTCAATATTAAGTGGTAGAAAATTTTTAATTATCCTACTAAATTGAAATATTTGATTATTTGGTTGCAAGTCAATTTTTTAAAAAATCATTCTCAGACCAGGTATGGTGGCACATGCCTTTAATTCCAGTGGGGAGGCAGAGGCAGGTGAATCACTGTGAGTTCAATGCCAGCCTGGTCTACAGAAGTAATTCCAGGATAGCCTATCTCAAAAGAAAGAAAGAAAGAAAGAAAGAAAGAAAGAAAGAAAGAAAGAAAGAAAGAAAGAAAGAAGGAAAGAAAGAGAGAGGGGGAGCAGAGGAGAGGGGAGGGAAGGGAAGGAAAGAAGGGAAGGAAGGAAGGAAGGAAGGAAGGAAGGAAGGAAGGAAGGAAGGA